AGAGTACTGGTTTTATTAAGAAAATTCTGAAAATATCAATAAATTCTGGACACATGTCTTATAGGTTGTCGTTTTATTGTAAATCCGTTTGAAAGATTATTGTTGTTCCATGGGCCCTTAGAATGTGCCCTCTCAGGCCAGACCCCCCCCCCCCCCATGTCCTGGGCTCATCCCCAGCCCTGGGGGCAGCAGGGCAGGGGGGGTTGTGCCGCTCTGCTGCGCTCTCAGGAGACCCCACCTGCAGTGCGGCCTCCAGCTCTGGGGTCCCCGACACAACAAGGCCAGGGAACTGCTGCAGCAAGGCCACACCAGGCCAACAAGGGGCTCAGGGACCTCGAGCACCTCCCCTCTGCACACAGGCTGGCAAAGTTGGGGCTCTTCAGCCTGGACAAGAGAAGGTTGTGTGGAGACCTGGGAGAAACCTTCCCGTCTGGGAAGGGGCCTCCAAGGAAGCCAGAGGGTGACTCTTGGTCAGCAACTGTAGTGACAGGACAAGGGCTTCAAACTGACAGGGAGGAGGGTTAGATTTGATGTTAGGAAAACATTGTTTCCTGTGAGGCTGGTGAGGCCCTGGCAGGGGCTGTGCAGAGAGGCTGTGGCTGCCCCATCCCTGGCAACATTCAAGGTCCACTTGGCCGTGGCCCTGAGCCACTTGGTCAGGTTGGAACAAGATGATTTGTAGGGTCTGTCCCAAGCCAAACACTCAAGGATTCCATCATTCCATGATCCCCATCCCCAGTGCGGAGTGGCCCTGGACCTCCTGTGACATCGCAGCTGCCAGAGCTGTGCCCGTGTTCCATGTGGAACTGCCAGGGCCCGGCGACGAGCACAACGCAGCCATTCCCCTGCTGCCAGCCAGCCCTGAGCAGCTCCCAGCGCACCCTCTGGCCCGACCACCTTTGGTTCCAAGAGTACCCTTCCCCCTGCTCCCTCTGGACTGTCCCCACCTGCTCCCTTGAACATCCGTCAGTGCTGACTCTGCCTGCAGTCTGGGTGTTGTGATCCATGCCAGCAGGATGTGCAGCCTTGTCCCAGTGAATGTCCAGTGCCAGTCCATGGAGGAGGGCACCAACTGACTGGCCAGGTGGGCTGGAGCTCAGTGGGGCTGGGGTGGGACAGGCCCCCTCTGTGAGGTTGTTCTCCCTGCTGCAGGCTGAGAGAGACAGCGAAGAGCCAACGGAAGTGGACACGGCGAGAGATCTAAAAGGCGATGTAGAGGAGATGGAGGTGGACACGCAAGAGGAAGAAGAGATGGACGTGGAAGAGGACGGCGAGAAGGAGGAGGCCATGATCCTGGGATAAGGACACCCCGCCTCAGCAGCAGGTGAGGCCCGTCCTGGCCGTGCCCTGCCCCGGGGACAGCGGGTCACCTGCCGCCAGGCTGGGGCTGGGCCGGGGGGCCCCGCTCAGGGACACGGTGCCCCGTGCCCTGGATTGTGGCGGCACAACCCCCAGCCCCGGCCTGCCCTGCGCCTGCTTTGGGCCACACCAGCCCCGTGCCAGCGCCTGGGGCCCGGCTCCCATCCCCAGCCGGGCTCAGGCCTGGCGCCAGAGTCCCGCTGGGCCCAGCGTGGGCCAGGCTGGGGGCCCAGGGAACGGCCAGCAGGGCCCGACTGCACTGACCGTGCCCTGGCTTTTCTTGCAGGACTGACGGACGTGCCGGCCACGGAATCGGCCACTTGTACATATGTTTTACATGTTGTTCTGTAAATACATTTTATATTATTGAATTTTTAAGAAGTTTGTTGGTTTTATAAAGAAAATAATTTAGGAAGATAGATTTTTAATTAAGAAGATAAGTTTTTTATTAAGAAAATAGTTTTTTTAAGAAGATAAGTTTCCTTTATAAGAAGATAGTTTTGTTCGAAGAAGATAGTTGTTTTATTTAGAAGATAGTTGTTTTTATTCAGAAGACAATTGTTTTTTATAAGAAGATGTTTGTTGATATTAAGACTGTTGTCATCAAGAAGACTGTCGTTTCTATAAAGAAGAGTACTGGTTTTATTAAGAAAATTCTGAAAATATCAATAAATTCTGGACACATGTCTTATAGGTTGTCGTTTTATTGTAAATCCGTTTGAAAGATTATTGTTGTTCCATGGGCCCTTAGAATGTGCCCTCTCAGGCCAGACCCCCCCCCCCGTGTCCTGGGCTCATCCCCAGCCCTGGGGGCAGCAGGGCAGGGGGGGTTGTGCCGCTCTGCTGCGCTCTCAGGAGACCCCACCTGCAGTGCGGCCTCCAGCTCTGGGGTCCCCGACGCAACAAGGCCAGGGAACTGCTGCAGCAAGGCCACACCAGGCCACCAAGGGGCTCAGGGACCTCGAGCACCTCCCCTCTGCACACAGGCTGGCAAAGTTGGGGCTCTTCAGCCTGGACAAGAGAAGGTTGTGTGGAGACCTGGGAGAAACCTTCCCGTCTGGGAAGGGGCCTCCAAGGAAGCCAGAGGGTGACTCTTGGTCAGCAACTGTAGTGACAGGACAAGGGCTTCAAACTGACACAGGGGAGGGTTAGATTTGATGTTAGGAAAACATTGTTTCCTGTGAGGCTGGTGAGGACCTGGCAGGGGCTGTGCAGAGAGGCTGTGGCTGCCCCATCCCTGGCAACATTCAAGGTCCACTTGGCCGTGGCCCTGAGCAACTTGGTCATGTTGGAACAAGATGATTTGTAGGGTCTGTCCCAAGCCAAAGCACTCAAGGATTCCATCATTCCATGATCCCCATCCCCAGTGCGGAGTGGCCCTGGACCTCCTGTGACATCGCAGCTGCCCGAGCTGTGCCCGTGTTCCATGTGGAACTGCCAGGGCCCGGCGACGAGCACAACGCAGCCATTCCCCTGCTGCCAGCCAGCCCTGAGCAGCTCCCAGCGCACCCTCTGGCCCGACCACCTTTGGTTCCAAGAGTACCCTTCCCCCTGCTCCCTCTGGACTGTCCCCACCTGCTCCCTTGAACATCCGTCAGTGCTGACTCTGCCTGCAGTCTGGGTGTTGTGATCCATGCCAGCAGGATGTGCAGCCTTGTCCCAGTGAATGTCCAGTGCCAGTCCATGGAGGAGGGCACCAACTGACTGGCCAGGTGGGCTGGAGCGCAGTGGGGCTGGGGTGGGACAGGCCCCCTCTGTGAGGTTGTTCTCCCTGCTGCAGGCTGAGAGAGACAGCGAAGAGCCAACGGAAGTGGACACGGCGAGAGATCTAAAAGGCGATGTAGAGGAGATGGAGGTGGACACGCAAGAGGAAGAAGAGATGGACGTGGAAGAGGAAGGCGAGAAGGAGGAGGCCATGATCCTGGGATAAGGACACCCCGCCTCAGCAGCAGGTGAGGCCCGTCCTGGCCGTGCCCTGCCCCGGGGACAGCGGATCACCTGCCGCCAGGCTGGGGCTGGGCTGGGGGGCCCCGCTCAGGGACACGGTGCCCCGTGCCCTGGATTGTGGCGGCACAACCCCCAGCCCCGGCCTGCCCTGCGCCTGCTTTGGGCCACACAAGCCCCGTGCCAGCGCCGGGGGCCCGGCTCCCATCCCCAGCCGGGCTCAGGCCTGGCGCCAGAGTCCCGCTGGGCCCAGCGGGGGCCAGGCTGGGGGCACAGGGAACGGCCAGCAGGGCCCGACTGCACTGACCGTGCCCTGGCTTTTCTTGCAGGACTGACGGACGTGCCGGCCACGGAATCGGCCACTTGTACATATGTTTTACATGTTGTACTGTAAATACATTTTATATTATTGAATTTTTAAGAAGTTTGTTGGTTTTATAAAGAAAATAATTTAGGCAGATAGATTTTTAATTAAGAAGATAAGTTTTTTATTAAGAAATTAGTTTTTTTAAGAAGATAAGTTTCCTTTATAAGAAGATAGTTTTGTTCGAAGAAGATAGTTGTTTTATTTAGAAGATAGTTGTTTTTATTCAGAAGATATTTTTATTCAGAAGACAATTGTTTTTAAGAAGAAGATGTTTGTTGATATTAAGACTGTTGTCATCAAGAAGACTGTCGTTCCTATAAAGAAGAGTACTGGTTTTATTAAGAAAATTCTGAAAATATCAATAAATTCTGGACACATGTCTTATAGGTTGTCGTTTTATTGTAAATCCGTTTGAAAGATTATTGTTGTTCCATGGGCCCTTAGAATGTGCCCTCTCAGGCCAGACCCCCCCCCCCCCCATGTCCTGGGCTCATCCCCAGCCCTGGGGGCAGCAGGGCAGGGGGGGTTGTGCCGCTCTGCTGCGCTCTCAGGAGACCCCACCTGCAGTGCGGCCTCCAGCTCTGGGGGCCCCGACACAACAAGGCCAGGGAACTGCTGCAGCAAGGCCACACCAGGCCACCAAGGGGCTCAGGGACCTCGAGCACCTCCCCTCTGCACACAGGCTGGCAAAGTTGGGGCTCTTCAGCCTGGACAAGAGAAGGTTGTGTGGAGACCTGGGAGAAACCTTCCCGTCTGGGAAGGGGCCTCCAAGGAAGCCAGAGGGTGACTCTTGGTCAGCAACTGTAGTGACAGGACAAGGGCTTCAAACTGACAGGGAGGAGGGTTAGATTTGATGTTAGGAAAACATTGTTTCCTGTGAGGCTGGTGAGGCCCTGGCAGGGGCTGTGCAGAGAGGCTGTGGCTGCCCCATCCCTGGCAACATTCAAGGTCCACTTGGCCGTGGCCCTGAGCAACTTGGTCAGGTTGGAACAAGATGATTTGTAGGGTCTGTCCCAAGCCAAAGCACTCAAGGATTCCATCATTCCATGATCCCCATCCCCAGTGCGGAGTGGCCCTGGACCTCCTGTGACATCGCAGCTGCCAGAGCTGTGCCCGTGTTCCATGTGGAACTGCCAGGGCCCGGCGACGAGCACAACGCAGCCATTCCCCTGCTGCCAGCCAGCCCTGAGCAGCTCCCAGCGCACCCTCTGGCCCGACCACCTTTGGTTCCAAGAGTACCCTTCCCCCTGCTCCCTCTGGACTGTCCCCACCTGCTCCCTTGAACATCCGTCAGTGCTGACTCTGCCTGCAGTCTGGGTGTTGTGATCCATGCCAGCAGGATGTGCAGCCTTGTCCCAGTGAATGTCCAGTGCCAGTCCATGGAGGAGGGCACCAACTGACTGGCCAGGTGGGCTGGAGCTCAGTGGGGCTGGGGTGGGACAGGCCCCCTCTGTGAGGTTGTTCTCCCTGCTGCAGGCTGAGAGAGACAGCGAAGAGCCAACGGAAGTGGACACGGCGAGAGATCTAAAAGGCGATGTAGAGGAGATGGAGGTGGACACGCAAGAGGAAGAAGAGATGGACGTGGAAGAGGAAGGCGAGAAGAGGGAGGCCATGATCCTGGGTAAAGGACACCCCGCCTCAGCAGCAGGTGAGGCCCGTCCTGGCCGTGCCCTGCCCCGGGGACAGCGGGTCACCTGCCGCCAGGCTGGGGCTGGGCTGGGGGGCCCCGCTCAGGGACACGGTGCCCCGTGCCCTGGATTGTGGCGGCACAACCCCCAGCCCCGGCCTGCCCTGCGCCTGCTTTGGGCCACACAAGCCCCGTGCCAGCGCCTGGGGCCCGGCTCCCATCCCCAGCCGGGCTCAGGCCTGGCGCCAGAGTCCCGCTGGGCCCAGCGTGGGCCAGGCTGGGGGCACAGGGAACGGCCAGCAGGGCCCGACTGCACTGACCGTGCCCTGGCTTTCCTTGCAGGACTGACGGACGTGCCGGCCACGGAATCGGCCACTTGTACATATGTTTTACATGTTGTTCTGTAAATACATTTTATATTATTGAATTTTTAAGAAGTTTGTTGGTTTTATAAAGAAAATAATTTAGGAAGATAGATTTTTAATTAAGAAGTTTTTTATTAAGAAAATAGTTTTTTTAAGAAGATAAGTTTCCTTTATAAGAAGATAGTTTTGTTCGAAGAAGATAGTTGTTTTATTTAGAAGATAGTTGTTTTTATTCAGAAGATATTTTTATTCAGAAGACAATTGTTTTTTATAAGAAGATGTTTGTTGATATTAAGACTGTTGTCATCAAGAAGACTGTCGTTTCTATAAAGAAGAGTACTGGTTTTATTAAGAAAATTCTGAAAATATCAGTAAATTCTGGACACATGTCTTATAGGTTGTCGTTTTATTGTAAATCCGTTTGAAAGATTATTGTTGTTCCATGGGCCCTTAGAATGTGCCCTCTCAGGCCAGACCCCCCCCCCCGTGTCCTGGGCTCATCCCCAGCCCTGGGGGCAGCAGGGCAGGGGGGGTTGTGCCGCTCTGCTGCGCTCTCAGGAGACCCCACCTGCAGTGCGGCCTCCAGCTCTGGGGTCCCCGACACAACAAGGCCAGGGAACCGCTGCAGCAAGGCCACACCAGGCCAACAAGGGGCTCAGGGACCTCGAGCACCTCCCCTCTGCACACAGGCTGGCAAAGTTGGGGCTCTTCAGCCTGGAGAAGAGAAGGTTGTGTGGAGACCTGGGAGAAACCTTCCCGTCTGGGAAGGGGCCTCCAAGGAAGCCGGAGGGTGACTCTTGGTCAGCAACTGTAGTGACAGGACAAGGGCTTCAAACTGACAGACAAGAGGGTTAGATTTGATGTTAGGAAGATAATGGTTCCTGTGAGGGTGGTGAGGCCCTGGCAGGGACCGTGCAGAGAGGCTGTGGCTGCCCCATCCCTGGCAACATTCAAGGTCCACTTGGCCGTGGCCCTGAGCAACTTGGTCAGGTTGGAACAAGATGATTTGTAGGGTCTGTCCCAAACCAAACCACTCAAGGATTCCATCATTCCATGATCCCCATCCCCAGTGCGG